TGATATTTGTGAAAGATAGGGTCAAATGAAGTTAAAGAGGAAGTAGAGCAAGAGTTCTGCTTTCAGTTCTGGGTTTTAATTCTACGTACACGAAGTTCAAACACCAGGACACAGAATTTTTATGGTATGAAGATATTTATCTTTGAGAACCAGGAAAATTCGAGGTTTGAAAAAACACAGGACAGACTGTGATTCTGGTAATGTTTTGTCACAACCTGGATAGTGGTTCTATAATGATAATTCATTCTGTATGTATATATTTGTATTAGTCAGTTTTGTTGTTATAGGAGTAACAAATAATCACAACACTTCAGTACCCACAAGGAATGACTTTTATTCCATGCTGCCAATACATAAGAGCTATGCTCTACGATGTTCTTCCGGGTTCTCCTGGCCTCAGCTCAGCTTGGCTCCATTCCAAGGAATCATTACTTCTGGATCCAGGCTAGAAAGAGAGCCAATATTGGTATCCTGCATTTGCTTAGTAGGGTTCGGTAACATAAGAATAAAAGAAGCAAATTACAGAACTAGCTTCATTAAAATTCTCCAATCAGCGAGGTGGTCTACAGAGTGTTCAAAACTTTGATTTTAATCTATTTGGCCCAATCATTTTCACATGACTTGAGCCACACCCATATTTCTCTGATACATAAACTTTTGACAAGTATTTTTGAAATTATTGACTTCAATTGGAACAGAGCCTTGTTTCCTTGACCCTGAGCTATTTTCTCTCCAGCTAAACATAGTACTTTACAGATGCAATTGAGTTTCAGGGCAGTTAATTTGGAGGTTAACTAGAAAGGAGATTATCCTTGGTTTAGGGAGGGCTGGCGTGGACCAGGACCCTTCCTGAGATCAAAACCTTTCTCCAGCCAACCTTCATGAAGTTGCCTTGTGAGAGAGCCTGAGAGCGGCCCCCATGGCCAATAACTTTAGCAGCCCATAGGTTAGGGTCTGAAAGTAGCGCCATCAGACAAGCACCATGAAAAGGGGAAACTCAGTCTTACAGCTAAAGGAACTGAATTTTGCCCACAATCATAATAGCTTGTGTTGTGGTTTAAGTCCAGACGTCCTCCCAAAGCCTCATGTGCTCAACAGGGGGGCGGGGCTTTGTGGGGAGAGTGGATCACGGCAGCGTGACACTCAGCGGTGGACTAGTCCCCCGATGAGTTTATAACTCAACGTGATGCTAGGAGCTGAAGCCTGATTGGAGGAGGTGGGTGCCTCAGTTAAAGTTTCTCCTTGCTGAGACAAAATACCCAACACCTAAAGTTAGAAGGGGAAAGGTTTATTTCGGCTCACAGTTTGTACAGGTTTCAACCCATAATTGGCTGGCTCCAAGGCAGGGTGTCATGGCAGAGGGGCATCGCAGAGAAGAAATAGTTGGCATAGGCAGAAAGCAGCAAAAGCTTCCAAGCAATGTGCAGGAAGTACCAAGCAAGAAGCACTCATGCTTTTTCTGTCCTGTATGTTTTACCCAGGCTACCCACCCTTAGGAAGGATAGCACTCAGACCCTTAATCCTAGCATTGAGTCCTTGATCCCAGCATCACACACTCTAGGTCCAGTCACCTCCGAAAAGCCCCACCTATGACTGCATGATGCTTTGGGGGCCATCTAGATAAAACCCGTAACAGGCACTGTGGGAATGGCCTGGAAGAGTATATCTCTCCCCTTCCTCCCTCGATTCCTCCTGGCTTCATGCTTGCCATGCCATGAACTGCTCCTCCACGCCATGCCCTTCTGCCAGGCCATGCTGCCTTGGAGCCAGCCAACTATGGACTGAAACCTCTACAAACTGTGAACCAAAGTAAACCTCTCCTCTAAATCATTGATGTTCTATATTCTGTATCAGTGACAAGAAAGTTATTAAGACAGCTTGGAAGAGAGCCCTTGGGCCCAGGAAAAAAGCTTCCAGGTCAGTAACTTCACTGCATCCTTGCAGAGGCCACACCTAAAATTTGCCTGGACTCCCGCCCCAAGGACACACTATGACATGAAAATTATACTTGTATGTTGCTGAAAGCTGCTAAATTTGTAGTAATTGATCAAATAGCAGAAGTAATATGGGGTCTATTCCATACGCAGTGCATGCCCTCACACTGGTCCTGGCACTTTTGAGCTGGTCTAAAGAATACAAAGTAGTTCTCAAATTTCAGTACACATCAGACTCACCTGAAGGGTCTGTAAAAATAAAGGCTGAAGAGCCCCCCATCTCCAGAGATTCTAACTCACGAGAACAAGGACAGGATTCAAGATTTTGGGATTCCAATGATTTGCAAAATGATACAATTGTGGATAGTCTAGAGACCACAATTTGTGAACCACTTTGGACAACCACGGTGACAATTATATCTGTGCTGTTTAAGTCCCCTCAGCAATAAAAAAAAAGCATCTGATAAAGAGGAAATTGTTGTCTTCCTTTGCGTTGAAGGTTTTTACACATACTCATTAGGCTCCATCCCTGATTTTCGTTTAGTATCTCATTCTTCTCATGCCTGGGGCAAATGCGCAATTGCTTGTGTCGTCAGAAGCACTGATACATTATTTGTTCCCTTATTATAATTTACATTCCAGTGCTTCTATACTATTTCTCTTAAGGTGGCCTGATTTATAGCAGAAATTATTAAAATGCCTTGTAAGTATTTATACTTGAAATTGTCAGAATGGCATATTCTATAACTACAAACCGGATTGGTAATTATGGATTAAGTCCATAATATTCCGGTTATAGTTAAGCAAATCAATAAAAGTATTTTCAAAAATATTGTCAGAGAGCTATGAATTTACTGCTTCGCTGTTTTAGTACTGAGTTTAAAAGCTGGGCCCAAATATCATGGATCTAAAGGACACTACGGACATCAAGAGTTTAACCTATCTAGAATTTTTACCTTTGATGTTCCAATTTGTTTAAATATAAAATCACCATCTTTTGTCTTTATTTTCTACGAAGGGTTTTTTCCTTTGATGGAGGTGGCTTTTGTTATGCTAGCGTCTGCTAGCTTCCTAGTAACTGCAGAGTGACACAAACTACACTATTTAATGAATATTCATATCAAGGAGATATTTATAACATTTTTCATGCATTGCTCCTTTACCCTTTCTCAACACACATTTTGAAAATTACATTTTATTCTTGAAATCCATAAGGAAACATTTTCAGTCTTTATACTCGGCTTTGAATGCTTTTAAGCAACAGATCTCCAAATTAAGAGAAATTGGCAATAAGTATTTGTTGGAAGAAATAACATCAGCAGAAGAATTCAGATTGAAGTGCTATAATAATTTGTTAGCAAGAAAGTTTAAGAACAATAGGTAACAACACAAAAATATACATTTGTTCAGTGTAAGGACTTTTGCTTTTTTGTTTAGTGGCATGTTTTCTGCTTTTAGAATAATTTTTAGTGCAGTACAGAAGTCCATGATATTTGTGAAATAAATAAATGGTTGAGCAAATGAACATGTGTGATGCAGAAAAGTATCATAATTCTCCTGGTCAGATAAAACACATCTGTCAGCCTGCAGTTCCACAATCAGCAATCCACGATGTGGAAAAGGCTCACATTCCAGCACAATATATTAGGTTCTCGACCTAAAAGTGAAAAATAGTAAGTCCTGGTGTTCAGGGTACCGGAAAGCTAGGTATGCTCTGATAAAAGAGGATAAGTAATTTTTTCTAAAAGTTTATCTGAGAATTCTCTCAAAAATGAGGGAGAAAGCAAAAGAGTTCCGGTGCCCAAAGCAAAAGGACAGAAATGTCAAAGTTCACAGTGAGAGAGAATAGTAAGCTATGGATTTCAAAGTTTAAACCATATCCTGCATCAAGAAAGGTACATACAGCACACTTAACTGAGACCAGAGTTTTTGTTGGGACAGATTTTCACTGTGTACTTCAGGCTGCTCTTGAACTCACTACATAGCCAAAGCTGACCTTCACTCATGGCAATCCTCCTGCCTCAGCCTCCAGAGTGCTGAGATTACAACATGTCCCACCACACCCAGCAAGAGACAGGATTTATGAAACAATACCTGCGTTTACTCATTTGATACATTAGATATCCTTTAACATATTTCATCTCTTTATTATTGGTCAAGAAGTACAAAATTGATTTTAAGATGCATTGTTTTAGAAGCACACTGGTTTGAGCCATTGTACAGCTATGGCAAGGGGACCATTGACATGGAAGCTCAAAAGAAGACTCTTCCGTAACAGCAGCAGCTCCACTCCCACCCAAGCAGTTTGCAGCTGAAATGGTCAGGGGACTGTAATCCACAGCCTGTTTTGATTTAAAATGACTCAGAGTGGTAGAACAAATGGATACTTGTGAAGGACATTCTTTGATTAGAATGCATTAAGGACACAATGATTTGTTTAACCTTGAGTTTACGATCCTCCCGTCTCAGCCTCTTGGGTGCTGGGATTACAGGAGTGTCTTGGATTCCTGTGGAAAAGGATAATCCTTTGATTATCCTTGCTAAAACATTTGCTATCTGCCCATTTGTACTAACTACGCCCTAGGCTCTGGCTCAATAAAAGGTGACTGAAATTGGTGTTCCAGGCGGGAGTCGCAGAAGCTGTAAGCCCCCTGCTCCCAGACTTCTGCCTCTCCTGTTTTTCTTCTGCTTTCTTTTTTTTCATCCGCGGGCCCCTCGTTCTCGAGACCTGTCACTACAGGTAATATGACAGGTACTGAACTTTGTCTTTGCATCAATCCAAAGTGCTGGAAGGGAAAGTACCGGGGAACTTTCTTCTCCGCTCTGACTACGGACCCATCTAGAAGTGTTTTCTATCTTAAGCGGGCCTGCCTCCCGCGGGGGACGAGAGCGAAAACAAAAGAGCTACAGAAGAAGGGCGGATCCTGAGCCGGCGAGAGGGACTCCAGGTCTCCCAGACGCACAGCGTGGGAGCGTCTGGCGAAGAGAGCGGAGCGCGGCCCGCCGGACGCGCACGCGCGAACTACAAGTCCCAGCAGCCCCTGCGGGATCCCGCACCGCCCCGCCCCGCCCCGCGCAAGGCCCGCCGGGAGCCGGCCGCCGCCGCCAAGATGTCGCAGACCAAGAGGAGGAAGCTTGAGTCGGGGGGCGGCGGCGAAGAGGGGGAGGGGGCCGCCGCGGAGGACGACGACGGGGAGTGCGGCGCGGCCCCTCCGCGAGCGCGCAGGACTAAGCGCGAGCGGGACCAGCTGTACTACGAGTGCTACTCGGACGTGTCGGTCCACGAGGAGATGATCGCCGACCGCGTCCGCACCGACGCCTACCGCCTGGGCATCCTGCGCAACTGGGCGGCGCTGCGCGGCAAGGCGGTGCTGGACGTGGGCGCGGGCACCGGCATCCTGAGCGTGTTCTGCGCCCAGGCCGGCGCGCGGCGCGTGTACGCCGTGGAGGCCAGCGCCATCTGGCAGCAGGCCCGGGAGGTGGTGCGGCTGAACGGGCTGGAGGACCGCGTGCACGTGCTGCCCGGCCCGGTGGAGACGGTGGAGCTGCCCGAGCGGGTGGACGCCATCGTGAGCGAGTGGATGGGCTACGGGCTGCTGCACGAGTCCATGCTGCGCTCGGTGCTGCACGCGCGGACCAAGTGGCTGAAGGAGGGCGGGCTGCTGCTGCCCGCCTCCGCCGAGCTCTTCGTCGCTCCCATCAGCGACCAGATGCTGGAGTGGCGCCTGGGCTTCTGGGGCCAGGTGAAGCAGCACTACGGCGTGGACATGAGCTGCATGGAGGGCTTCGCCACGCGCTGCCTCATGGGCCACTCCGAGATCGTGGTGCAGGGCCTGTCGGGCGAAGACGTGCTGGCCCGGCCGCAGCGCTTCGCCCAGCTCGAGCTGGCCCGCGCCGGCCTGGAGCAGGAGCTGGAGGCCGGGGTGGGCGGGCGCTTCCGCTGCAGCTGCTACGGCTCGGCGCCCTTGCACGGTTTCGCCGTCTGGTTCCAGGTGACCTTCCCCGGAGGCGAATCGGAGAAGCCGCTGGTGCTGTCCACCTCGCCCTTCCACCCGGCCACTCACTGGAAGCAGGCGCTGCTCTACCTGAACGAGCCCGTGCAAGTGGAGCAGGACACGGACGTTTCCGGGGAGATCACGCTGCTGCCCTCCCGGGACAACCCCCGACGCCTGCGCGTACTGCTGCGCTACAAAGTGGGGGACCAGGAGGAAAAGACCAAAGACTTTGCCATGGAGGACTGAGCCTTGCTTTGCTCCCGTGCGTCTCCAAAGGCAGCCGGCCTGCGTGGGAGAGGCCTTGGGAGGTCGAGGAGAAAGGGAGATCTCATTTGCAAGTAGGGGACATCTCCTTTCCCCTGGTTCCTAGGGAGGGAGAGTGACCTCTGTCTCCGTTTGAGGAGAGTCTTCTGACAATGTTTATTTAAAAAGTGGTTTTCCCCTGGACGGACAGAGTTTGCTTATCAGGGGGCTTTGGAGCCTCAGAGCCTGTGGTGTGAAGCAAGCACTTGTTAAGTTTCTCTTTCTCACGGGGGGGAAAATGGGTACAAATGACGGTTTCACAAGGGTCCATGGACAAACCCGACACGTTGCCCCTCGTCTAGGTCTGAAATTGGGGAGAAGGCTGAAAGGGTTCGATTAGACTCCAAAAAATTTCCAGCGTGACTTAGTATCTCCTTGGAGCTGTGTTTTCTCAGTCTTGGAATCCCCTGCATTTCTAGGTGCCTGTAGGCTCGGGTATTTGTTCCTCATTGTTTTCTAAGTAAACTTTCCTACTAATGATGGAGGGGAAGAGATGAAGTAGTTTCAATAGCTCTGTTCTTATTCCATCCAGAGGGTGCTAAAGTCGGTGAACATGTGAATCCATTAAGTACAATGTATTTTTGTAATTACACAGCATACCTAAGAAGGTCAAAAGGGAACCTAAGAGAAAAAAAGCGCTGCAATAGTGTGGGGTCTTAAAATTATTTGAGTCTGCTAAGTTAAGGAAGGTACTTTCCTAGCTAGAAAAGTGTGTTCATTCTCATTTAAACTCGTTTGGACGAATCATATGCCTTGGCCTACTTACATCTAGTGAAAGTTCTTTTACAGTTTACTCTTTTTTTTTTTTTTTTCAATCTTTTTAGCTCAGCCAAATTTGAAAGCCAAATGTAAAAGTTGTGAATTTGGGAAAATCACTTGTAATGAAGTATGAGTCATGTTATCAAATTTATTTTCACTGATGTTTCCCTCCTTATCTCTGGCAAATAAAACATTGGCATTTCCACTGTTTTTATAAATGAAGAAATTTTGTGTATTGTCTGAGTTATAATGACCTTGCCTTTCTCACATAGTCGGTCCTTAAGTGTTAAAACAACCTCACAGGGCACAGATTAACAGGGCAATTCAAATTATGCTGAAGGTATAGTTTTGTATCCTAATAGCTTCTATGCTAATAGAAACAAGTTTGAAGTAGTCTTAAGTATTCAACATTTATGTAACTGCGTTTTCTTGTGTGTAGTTAGGTATTACAACTAATCTGTAAAATTTAATGTTTAATGAGATCTTCTAGTATGAAGAGAAACGTGTACAAAATCATCAGTTTTACAAGATAATTAAATAGCAAGCAGTAAAATATAATTGTCACCATTTCGATGTCAAGATAGTTATCTTCTATAAATGCTACCTTCTAGGAAGGGAAACAAAGTGGAGGTAAAAAAATAGCTATTTATTTTAAATCAAACTTTTGTTTTTAAGGGTTTCAGTGTGTGATTTGAGGTTTCTGGCGATTCTGTTTAAACTTGTTACAGCAACCCTTCACTGTGTAAACAAGTGAAAGCATGGTTCTGAATTTCATGTTTTACATACTTACCAATATAAGCACTCAAAAGAAATCCCAGTTAAACTTAGACTGAAAGAGTAAGGGTAGCAAAGTAAGCTTCAAGGTTCATTTTACTCTTTCCCAAAATAAAAATGAGTTATGAAAATACAGTTACACAATCAAGGGGCACCGTAGCATAGTGGGTGAGACAGAGAGCCCGTGACTCATTTACATGTATCACTGATGAAACTACAACCTCTGATTTTTTTCCCTTCAGTGTTCATGTTCAAAATAGAGGTGGCCTACTCCATAGAAATACAAGGCTACAGTGAGTTAATACAGATAACCACACAGTACATGATACATAACGAGTTCTCAGTAATTTCTGTGTTGTAATTACATAAGAGTCATGCAAACCTGGCATACGTGGGTACATACAAAATGGATTACAGTATAAATATTCAACATTTTTGTTTTTTTTTTCCCCACAGGTATTGTTTGACACCATGACTGTACATAAAGAGTTTGACATGAGACACCAGATGATCCAAAGCAAAACCAAGATCTTTGGAGTGAGGCTCCCTGCAGAAGGATGACCGTGTAAGATGTACCAGCGTCTGGGCACTGTTCAGTCTGTGTGGACTGGAACCGGCTGCTTTGGGCCGTTCGAGTCTCAGGCAGGGAAACAGTAAAGTTCTACCTGCTTCCCTCATGCAGCTTCCATTTATTTAGCGCTGTGAAATTCTGTATTTTCATTCACTGGACCAATGAACACTTTTATCAAGTACACGTGTAATAGTCATTGTGATAAGCACTCCGGATGCAAACCAGCTAGATTCTGCCTTCAGATAAATGCCTTCAAAAGACAAGCTCCTAAATGGAATTAGTGATGATGGGCCACGTGGGGGGATGGTCTTGGTGTTAGGAAGGACAGGTAATTATCGATTTGTTTCACATATTGAAAGACAGTTTACAGCCATACTGAAAGATTTGCCTAAGGTTCCATCGCTGATTCTTGGCAGTTACATCTTGAACACAAGACCCACCTCCTAACCCCAAAGACAAATTTTTTTTTTTTTTTGCTTCATTGTGTTAATCCTGTACTATTCAATTAAAGAGAAAAGTACATACTCCTGGGTGTGTAACAAGTTTTTATCATTTAATGAATGAAGGAAAGGGAAAAGACCAGCCTCAGGAAATCTCTTTGCATCTGCCTCCCAGGCCTTGAGCCCAGTCTTCAGTGTAAGGTTCTCAACGGTGATAAGTACAAGGCACTTACTGAAATACCCGATGCCCACATTTCCCTGACTGCTGATCCAATGCGGCACTCTCAGGTCCCCAGAAAACCAATTTCGTAACACATGATAAATATGCACATCCTACTCAAAATAGGTCATGCTAGGAGAAAGAAAATTGCATCAACAATTTTCATACATGCTTGATCCTGAAATGAGCCTCATTCCAGTTAAATTTGCTGAAGCGTTTCTGAGAGGACAGCCTTATGTCTAAAACTTCTCCCAAATGCAGAGATAGGTAATCATCAGACATGAGTTTGTCATGAAAGTTTCTCATATTAACTCCAAAAATAATTCACTATCCTCTAAGTAACTGGTTTGTTTCACGGTAGACCCAGCACACTCCTCACAGTGGCTAGTAGAAAGCTAAGCCAACTTTAATGCCTCACTTGGGCTTTTTTTAAAGCTTGCTTTCTATCTGACTCTGCTTCCATGCTCCAGGTTTTTTTTTCCTGATTTGGAATGTATTTTGTTATTTGTATTTGTTGTTGTATTTTGTTAGAATCTATGTAACCTTGATCTTTTTATTTCTTTTTGGCATTAAACTATTTTCCTACTTTCTGGAATACCGTTCTGAGGGTGAAGAGGTTAGAAAAAGGACCAAAGTACTCTGAGATGTCCCATTCATTCCCCCAAGATGCATTTGTGCCAGATTTTTCTTTGGATATATATCTCATTTGACCTCATCCTTTTTTTCCTCCCCGCCCCCTGCCCGTTTTGAGACAGGGTCTCACTATGCAGTTCAGGCTGTCTTTGAGCTCATTTTGTAGCCCAGGCTGATCTCGAACTCAGAATGATCCTCCTGCCTCAGCCTCCCGAGTGCTGGGATTATAGGTGTACACCGCTATGCCCAGCTGACCTCATCCTTCTAAAGAAGTAAGTCTAGAAGAGGCCATGATTAAATCTTAAAAACAATAGTAAGAAGAGTTGTTTCCTGAACCTTCCCCAAGAATGTGACAAAAGTTTAAAGTGGAAATAAAGAGGGATGTGGTATAATCAGTTTCTCAAAATAGGACACATTCTTGTTGAAAAAGATTTTTGAAACAAAAATCTTGGAACTGCTTAAACACTTAAGCTTTCAGTAAAGCTAAGACATGATCAGTAATATCAGAATTGTGCTCCTTTCGAACCTTTCATAATTAAATTTATCATAATTGACAATAATAAGACTGCCAGAGATCTCAGTTGATTGCATAGCTTTAAACAGAATTTTGAAAAAAGATTCCTCCTCTTTTCAAGCTGCTCCTTACAAGAAAAAAAAAAGTAAAAAGTGGGATGGAAGGAAATAATTTCTGTTTTTTAAAAAACACGTAAGCATTTCTAACGTAATGATACATGTGTTCATGAAAAACCTTCACGTTCTTCAAAATTGTTCACTAAAATTAAAATCTGGAGCGAAACAAGATGGGTGAGCATCAAGATATGTAAGTTTGTAAATACTAGCAAAACAATACTAAGTCTCTAATTCTAATACAGTTTATTGCCAGGCATGATAGCTCACACCCATAATCCCAGTACTCAGGAGGCTGAACCCGGAGGATCACTGCAAGTTTGAGGCTACCCTGAAATGGAGTGAGACCCTGTCTCAAAAACCCAAAAATAAATTAAAAATTTATTAAGAAATAAGTTCCTGATAAACACTGGAGTAAATATAACTTCGTGGAAGGAAATAGGGAAGAACGAATGTACGGAGATAGAAGACACCATAAACATTTCTGGGAGACAATGTGGCCAAACAGCCAAGAGGAAGAATCTAGAAGACAGTCCCTTCCTCCTTGGCTTGCTGCAGTGTGGAGCGGTGTGACCGTCAGCCTCTAAAACTAATTTGCAGCTTTGTTCTTAAAATTATATCACAAATAGTTCTTAATACTGACCTAATTATACATGTGCTCTGAAACCAAGGAAAAAGGGTTTTGACTTTAAGATGTATACAGTGCAAAAAAGAATTAACATCCACAAATGGTTAAAATTTTTATTTTACGCACTTATTGAGATCAGATTTCTCTAAAAGTACAGAAACAGCAAACTTTATTTTCAAGTAAACTTTGCTGTCATTTGTCATCTGGCAAAATTACAAAAATAAGAAACATTGAAATGGTTATGAATGCACAGTAAAAGACAGAATTAATAAGAGAGGATTTGGAAAATCCAAAGATTAAATATACAGTCCCTGCATAATTGAGAATTTTCACTAATCAGAATAATTAGAGAAAAACAAGGAGAGAATGACAGCAAT